TCGGGTTCCGCAGGTTCCTTCTTGGGTGCATCCGGGTCAACTTTCAGGGCTTTGTCGTGCATTGGCTTGTGCTGGTAAGTTGCCCGCTTCGCCTCCGCTGAATGATCTGGTGAAATTACAGCCTCCGCCGTCGGCGTTTCTGGTGGATCCGTGGACATCACATCTATGGGCTGCGTCTCCACTAGGTCAATTTGCACTGTTGCCTTTGGTAGGCTTTTCATCACGCCTGCACATGTATCGATAGTAAATCTTTGATTGCTGACTGGGTGCTTTAGCTTTTAATTGGTTATACCACATGTACGCAAAGATTAGCTGACCCATTGAACAACACTTGTTGACTCCACTTGGTCTTGGTCCTGTTGAAGGCGGCGTGGCACCACCAGACACACTTGCGGGGGAACAGGAGCGGAGCCTTAGTGTGTTTTGCAGATTCCACAAATTCGGGTTCATAGGTTCATTGGCTCATTGCTCTGTGGTTCAGGTGCAAAAACAAAACTAAGCTGGAATGCAGGCTAAAAGCGAGGCCAATCTTGCAAGAACTTCTTCCCTTTTCTTCTGGAGCATATCCATGTTGCCTTAATTCAAGCCAATTTGCGCCCATATAAGTTCAATTTCTTTTAAGTGCAGCACATATAAGTTATAATCGATGAGGTTTGCCGTGCAAAAAACACAATATATGCCGGTAGATGCCGTCAAAGCCACTGCATGTCCCTCCAACGCTTTCATTCACCGTGCTGTTCTCTTTCGGAATGGGTCTATCAGTGTCACTGGTCGAAGGTAATCTCTCAGTCTGTGGATCTGTGTTTTCCTTTGGCTCTGGCTTGGGCTCTTTGATCTCTACACTCTCATTCTGTGACGCTGGCTGTTCTTGCTTCGGTTCTGGCTTAGGCTCTTTGATCTCTAAACCCTCTTTCTGTGACTCTGGCTGTTCCTGCTTCGGTTCTGGATTGGGCTCTTTGATCTCTAAACCCTCTTTCTGTCGCTCTGGGTATTCCTGCTTTGGTTCTGGATTGGGCTCTTTGATCTCTATCTGAGGCTCCATCCCACTTTGAGGGGAAGCTTCAGCACCCGTCGCGCCAGTATCCCCTTCATTCTTGGAATCACTTGAAACTACTGCAGTTTCTCGGCCTTCACCATCAGAAAGCTTTTGTGACGTTTCGGGCTGGAAACCATTTGGCTCTTGTGTTGGAACCTCCCCATTCATAGCGCTACTGCTAGCATCAGGTTCTACCTCTTCTACCTCGACATCACTTGTAGAATCTGACTCCTCTTCACCTTCTGCATGGTCATCTTCCTTTTCACTCTCCTGTTGAGCTCAACCTTTTCATGAGAAACTTTAACGTTTGACATCGGCAAAATCTAGAACCGAATTCAAAAACAATATACAAACAACTGACATTGCCATTTCATGAAGTGCAGTGAGTCCTCAAGACCTTCACCTGAGCCTCGCAGACGACGCGCTTCTTTGCGCTCTTCAATCTTGCGATTCACATCATCCACCGTCTCCTACGGAAGATACAAACATTGTACCATGTGAGATTTGAGAGTTGAAGTAGCCTTAACCATATAGCTTCTAAAGACCTGTGTTCCATGACCGCATAAACCCTTCCTGAAGTGAAGAGTCCAATTCCATGCAAAGTTGCTGAAATGCTGCCACCTCGAACCCACTGTTGAACTGTTACACATTTCACTATTAACAGGTTGCTTGCATATATGCATCCACATCATCAAACGAAAGGAAGGTTTAACAAGTCCAAACGAAGTCGGTGTAAGGTTGCACGGTAGATATGCCCATGTACAATTGAGACTCAATGCAATAAAGGCGCCCCAGAAACTTCCCTGCGTCGACATTTCATCTTGAGGAAGCCTAGCAGCTTCCGAATCCTCCAAGACAGGGCAACAACATCCGGGGCCGTCTCTGGGGCGTTCTGGCGCTTGTTCTTCACATAGATGCGCTCAACCTCGTCCCTCAAAGTGTCTATCACAGGAAGTGGCTTGGTTTCGGTCAAGCTCATCCGTGTAATCAAGGGTTGTAGCACAAGGACATTTTTGAGGGTACTCGGTATATCTTCCCCATGCTCACCCTCCAACAAGGAACCACCATCCCGAAGACGGTCGCGAAGCTCAGAACTTGAGTCCCAATCCATGTGAAGGCCAGAAATGTCTAGCACCTCATGCACATTCAATTTGGGGCGACCGGCGGGCTTCTTTTTGTTCAATACCATCCTCCGGGACAAGGGATGAACTTTTCAGTTCAGCTTCCCACCACCCCTTGAGCACCAAATGGCTTTGGAGCATTGGAGGGTAGTGAAGTTCAGATAACTTCAGCTAATCACTTTGACTCCCCCTTTGCGCAGCCAACACTGCGTGCAGGACTGGGCATCCCGGCTTGCCAGTGGAAGATGAACTTGGCGACATTGTGCGAAAAACTGGCAATTTTTGCGAGCACGGGCATGACTTGTACAGAGTTGTTTTGGAATTGAACAGGTTTGGCAGCAATAACAGTGTTGTGAAGTTGGCCCACAAGATGGAACTATATAGACTGCATGGATAACATCTCATCCGTGTGTGAAAAATTGGTATCCAAAATTACATTATTTGACACCTTGGGGTTTGATCGGTGTAGTCTGGTTGATGTTGTCTCAACACCCCTGATACCCCAAGCTGCCCCCAGCGCAGCTTGATCTGAATGAGTTGGCGCGCCTGAGCTTCGGTGCCGGAGGCAGAATTTGTGGAACCTATCCCAAAAAAACTCTGATTCTGATGGATGTCTTAGAAACCCGATGTTTTTCGGGCCAACCCTTTCTTTTCAGTAGATTTCGAGCAAACCCGATGTCTTGGTGGAAAACCTTTCTTTTTAAAGGGTTTGGGTTGTAAAGGTACTTACTGTATGTTTTATGGTTTCAATTGGTTTCATGTGGTTAACCACGGAAAACTTAACCACGGAAAACACAACACGAAGCAACACTGAAAGGCTGTGTGCCATGACACGCACATGTTACTAGTTACGGGGAGGCCCCATAGACGGAAAGAAGCAAGAAGCATTTGGTAAAGAAATTATCCTGTGTTGGCGAGGGGGAGGCTTTTGTAAGGATTATATATATATAGGGTGTTGATAAAGAATTGAACTCTCGTAAGTAATGGAGGAATGCTTTCAAAGTAGAAACCTTCCCATTCACCTGTCCTTGCCTGAATGGGGAATGCAGACAGCACAAATGTAACATTAAAACAGTGTTGGGAAGGTCTTTGAGAGGGAGAGAAGCGACAAAACAGAAAGGGACCGAGAAAGGACAGAAAAGGGAAGAAAGCTGGACATGTGCAGGGGGAAGAACGAAGAGGAAAGGAACGGAAGGAAAAAACATGAACCCACACTGGAAGGGAAAGGTGAAGGACAGGGTTTGAATGCCACGAGACACGACCGAAAATAACATGCTTGGACATAATAGATCGTGTCCAGAAGCTTTCTGGAGAGAGAGAGAGAGAGAGCAAGGAAACAGTGTGCCATTGCGATGCCCCACGCCAGACACAGTATCACAGAGGCTGACGAGAAGGGAAGCGGACAAAGCTGGGGATAGAACATAAACGAACGGAAGAGAGAGGGAAGAGTTAGTAGAAGTTACAGTGCCATAGCAGAGAGGTCTCCGCCTCGTTTTGGAACGCGAATCCAGCTGGTTTCGGAACGCAGATTTGATCAGATTTGGATCGTTTCGGAACGCGGTTCCCGGTTGGTTTCTGGCGAGTGGTTTCTGGGAAGTGGTTTCTGGTCACCGGTTTCTGGCAAGTGGTTTCTGGGAAGTGGTTTCTGGGGAGTGGTTTCTGGGAATTGGTTTCTGGGGAGGCAAACCAAAACAGATCCTAAAGACGTGAAGCCCTAAGTCAAAACCAAAGACATCCTAAAGCAGCAAAACCCTAAGCCAAACCAAAAGGCACCCTAAAGAAGTGAAGCCCTCAGTCAAACCCAAAGAGACCCTAACGAGGCAAAGTACTAAGCAAAAATAAAAGAAACCCTAAAGAAGTGAATCCGTAAGTCAAACCCAAAGAGACCCTGAAGAAGCCTGATTGCTCCGCTGCCAGATTGGTGTTTTTTGTGGAAGAAAGAGCCGAAGTATGCTTTTTTGGGCTAGTTGTAATCGGTTTGTGTTCCAAAATGATCCGCCAAATGCTGTAAGACTACAGATCCGCTGACATTTGATGGCAAAGTAGGCTTTTTTGAGGTAGTTGTAACCGGTCTGTGTTCGAAAATGATCCGCAAAATGCTATAAGATTACAGTTTTGGAGACTTTTTGCTGAGTTTGTGTTCCAAAATGATCCATTTTACGTGTTCCAAAATGATCCGTGTGCCTAGCAGAGATAAAACTAAGGAGGCTCATGACACCGGAGGAGAAGCAGACAAGTTATAGGAAGGGGCTGAAATACTGCAGTGGGTTTCATCCCTTCTGCCTCAAGTGACCTATATATATAGTTCGAACATGTTCGAACTCAGAGGAGGCATTTCTGTACGGAAGCAAGTGCTGATCATTTGTGTATTGTGGTGTACTGCAAGATGAGGCAAACATCCTGCTAAAGTGCCCGCTTCACTCATCATGGTTATAGAGCCATGACAGCCGTGTGCAACGTGATTCCTTCATAAGAGAAGCTGGTGAAGGTCAAGAGGGACCTTTTGGGCAGGCTAGTTTGGCGCAAAGGCATGTGGAGCAGCATATGTTTTGTGTGTCATAATACTTGTACGATTCATGATGCTATCAAGGGACTCGCACGGATTACTAGCACGGAATGCTCCACACACATCATGGTGCAGAAATACCAAGTGAATTTGCTGTGGACCCACCTGTCCTTTCAAACCTAGCCTGATTCGAGAAAACCAGTGAATTGTCAGTGGCATCTATCATGGTGTTTGTGTGCCACCGATGTGGCAACAGAGTTACAGTATTCCCATATTCTCAACTTCTTATCTACGTTGTGTTAGGGAAGTGTGTTTCTTCGACCCCTGGTTTCCACAGGCAACAGACAAGTATGAAGGGCGCGATCTTGAAGGAGGCTGCCGGAATTTGTACATGTCCGATGAGTTGGGACTTGTAAAATGACAGCGCAACACGTAAACTCGCAATTCCCATCATCTCAATCTCACGTGTCCGATTGTGCAGAACTCTCATCAGTCTCCAGGGGAAGGCTTGGTATCCGACAAATTTCACGGAAACATATGGTTTGGCAAAGAACTGCCATCCAAACTCTCAGTAACTGACCGCGAGTGACCATGGGCTTTTGCCCTACAGTGCACTGCTCGACCTTTAAAAGAGAAAATATCCGCCATGGAAGCTACGTGACTTTTCAGCTTCATACCAAGGCCGACGCGAGCAGACTGAATGAATGTTGTTTGTGGAAGCTCCGCATAAGCGCTTGCCTAGAGAACTAACTGCCTGCGTGCAAGCATGTTTTGCTGTCGGATAGAAACTAGGCATTTGAACAAGACAGTTTAAATTCACAGTTTCCATCTCCTGTGTGTCGTGCAACTTCTAGCATTGAGGCTAGCTGAGCCTTCGTTTTTCCTGGGCGGAGTTGTGGGCACATGTCTTGTCTCTTTGCACAGCTGACCTTCCCAAATTTCCTTGAACATTCTGACTCTTCCCCAAAATTTTCTGTAAGAGTCCAGAGTAGAGAACGCCACAGACATAGGTTTCAGTGGCCAGTCCTTGTTTTTTTCGCGAGAGCGTTGCGAAGGGCTCTTCTGTAGAAATCTTTTGCATAACACATTTGCATCCTGTAAATATTCAGACAAGAGAAAGCCTCAGCCAAGATGAGAACTGAAAGGAATTGTAAAAAGAGATGACATCTCTTCTTTTCCAGCCATAAACCCATTTTCTCAAAACAAGATGGAACCCACGAACCCGAATGCAAACACGTTCGAAAAACTAATATGTCCAAATGACACTCTTGTAGGACACTCTTGTGGGACACTCTTCTGGGACACTCTTGTAGGACACTCTTGTAGGACACTCTTGTGGGTCACTCTTGTAGGAACCTCTTGTGGGACACTCTTGTAGGACACTCTTGTGGGACACGCTTATAGGACACTATTGTGCGACACTCTTGTGGGACACTCTTGTAGGACACTCTTGTGGGACACTCTTGTAGGACACTCTTGTGGGACACTCTTGTGAGACACTCTTGTGGGTCACTTGCAGGACACTCTTGTGGGACATTCTTGTAGGAAACTCTTGTGGGACACTCTTCTAGGACACTCTTGTGGGACACTCTTGTGGGACACTCTTGTAGGACACTCTTGTGGGATACTCTTCTCGGACACTCTTGTAGGACACTCTTGTGAGACACTCTTCAGCGACACTGTTGCGGGACACTGTAGGACACTCTTGTGGGACACTCTTGTGTGACACTCTTGTTGGAAACTCTTGTGGGACACTCTTGTGGGCCACTCTTGTGGGACACTCTTATAGGACACTCTTGTGGAACACTCTTGTGGGACACTCTTGTAGGACACTCTTGTAGGAC